AAAATGTCATAGGAGCCATAGGCTAGTGTGCAACTGATAACATAATTTGTTCATGCTCATTTTCCTTCTTCTGTCCACTTAATTTACAGTATCACTCAGATTGTCTGTTTATCTGCTATTTCATGTATGTTCATTCTTCCAGTTACTGTCTCTCTCTATCTGTCACTTACTCTGCTTGTTCTCTTCTGTCCAGTCACCCACACATCAGTTTTACCACTACCCTTCATTCCACCTGTAGACTTGTTTGTGTTACTTAACTTGAGTTACAAGAAAGGAAAGTTTTTTGTTTTGTTTGTTTGTTTGTTTGTTTGTTTATTTTTAAATCTACATAGGATTTTGAAAGTAAAGGTAATTTTGTTTTTGTGCAGGAGAACCAAGTCTGTTATGGGTAGACAAATATCGGCCTCGTGCAGTGAAGCAGATTATTGGTCAGCAGGGTGATAAGAGCAACATGAGAAAGCTGATGAACTGGCTGAGAGACTGGGAAAAGAACAGAAAGAAACCAGCCTCTAAATGTGAGTACGTGTGTATTTGATTCTCAAGATGCTTTTCCCTCAAATACCTGTACATGTAACTTCTCTTCAGGCAAGAATGCAAACGGTTCAGGCAAACTGTTGGAGAAAGCAGATGAAAAAGTTTGGGTTGTAGCCAGACAGGGGAACCCTATTGTAAGGATTTCTCCTACAATATCAGTACAATATCAATACAATCTGTTGTCTCACGACAAAGTCACTTGATGTGGAACGCAACGTTTCGACTCCTTACTGTAAGTCTTCTTCAGGCGATGGGGTCGACTTGTTGTGGCACGGCATTATGTATCATCATGATGGTTTGCTGTAATTGGTGCATTGCCCAATCGAAATGCACTAATTACAACAAACCACCATGATACATAATGCCGTGCTACTAGTGAGCTGTTTGGAGTAAAAGGATTCAGTGCATGAACCTAACTTTAATCTACAGATATTTTACGTAAGACTTTAAATTGAGTTGTGATGCAAATGTTGTCTAGCCTGGACTGAATACCTTTCACACTGAATCCAGATTGTTTCTTAATTCCCACATTCAGGGGTACATTTTTAAACAGGTGTAACTTATGAACTTTGATGAGTTTATTTCACTTGACAGTCACTTTCACATGTAGTTAGTATGTTAGTAATGGGATCACAATTGTAAGCATTTTATTTTGTACAGCTTCCTTTTTCAACAAAGATCAAGATGGGTCTTCCTGTAAGGCAGCTCTTCTGTCCGGTTCCCCAGGAGTTGGAAAAACAACAACAGCTACACTGGTTTGTGAAGAGCTTGGTTTTACGTACATTGAAATGAATGCCAGTGACACACGGAGCAAAAAGACCTTGGAAGAACACATTTCTCATTCACTGAGCAATAAAACCATGGATGGCTTTCTTACAGGTTGTCAAATTTGTGTAAGATTTGGAATGACTTTGATGTTATTGAAGACGCTTCATTCATTCCCTTGTCTTACTAAACTGACTTTCCACTGTAGGGTAATTTTGTATTTTTAACTGACTTGGTGACGTAAATTGGCCACCGAAAAGAGTTTTAAAGCTAACGTTTCTTGCGTCAGGCCCTTCGTCAGTGCGAATATATGAAGGACTCTGACGAAGGACTAACGCTCCAAACGTCAGCTTTAAAAAAAAAATAATTCTAAAAATAATTCTTACATGCATCAGCTGATATGAACCATCAAAATTCGTATCAGCCTAAACAATACACATCCTTTAACAATTTAAGTTATTTTTGTTGCAAATTGTTGCGGTAACCGAAAACGCGTAAACCTATCTACGCATGGCTGATATGCTCGTTGTGCCCCTTATTTAGAACTCCAAAGATCTGAGGCTAATTTTCTAACCTCATCACCCTCATCACTATAGTGTATCCAAATGTTTCTGCTTAATTGCACTCTGTACTTGTGTACAATACCGCTCAATCTCGACTCGTAACTCGATCCTCGATACTTGAAACTATCGAGGCTCGCGTGTGGAGTATCGAGGATCAAAACGATTGAAGAACTTTTCGAGGATCATGATCCAAAGTTTCAAGAAAACGATGTTATTGTTGCACGTTAAACAATAATGAAGAACAAAGCGCTTGACTCGCAGTTTCTCTTTTTGTTGTTGTGGCAGGTCAAAAAGCAGACCCCAGTAAACATGTTCTCTTAATGGATGAAGTTGATGGAATGGCAGGAAACGAGGACAGAGGAGGAATGCAGGTCAGAATAAAACACGATTGTTGCCTCTTTTGTTTGTTTGTTTTATGTGTTTGTTTATTATGCTTTTTTGTTTTGTTTTGTTTTCAAGGGAAACCTGTTGTTTTTGTTTTCAAGTTATATCGTATTGCTCTTTCGTGCTTTTATTCAGCGTTTAACTAGTATCTGACAGTGTGTACTCAGTGATGATGTAGTGTCTGTGCGCGAAGAGTTTAGGAGCTCGCTGGGCCTTCTGGGAGAGATCCAAAGGAGAAAAACGTGTTGTGTTCTTGTAGCCATCTTGATGACCTGTGAACCTTTGGTGAATCTACGGAATCTTGTGCAATCCTTGAAAGGTTTCGACCCCTTGGAGTGTTGTAACCTTTAGGAATCGAGCCTGACAATCCTTGAAATAAAATACAGTTAAAATTCGTCAACAGTATCAGTCGAAATGAAACAACTTCCTTCTTTTTCAGTATTAAGATTAGTACTTAATAATTATAATGTATTTTGATATTTTGGTCATAAATTCAAGTCATTGTTTCAAAGTAAACTTTGACAAAAAGTTGTATCTCTTATCCGTATTTTTTTTTCAACAGGAACTCATATCACTGATAAAGAGTTCAAAGATACCCGTCATCTGCATGTGTAATGACAGGAACAGTCCCAAAATGCGCAGCTTGGCAAATTACTGTTTTGATTTGAGATTTCAGAGACCTCGAGTTGAACAGATCAAGGTAATGCAATGGGTGTTTGTCTAGTCGATTTGACGATGAGATGCATATACATGTAATTTACTCTGAAAGAGATTTGAACTCAGGAGTACAGTATGGGATGTATTACAAATGTGTGTTCAAGACCCTAACCCTAGCTTGCAGAACAGGCGTAATTTTTTTTGCGTGTTTCAGTCGAACAGAGGCAAGCGTGAGGCGAGCGCGAAGTGCAAGTCACGCGCAAGGAGAGGAGCGCAAAAAGATCAACGTGTACCTGCTCTCGCACCTGATTTGCGCTTTGTGCTTGCCTTCCACTTGTCTCTCGTCGCCCGTGAAACGCAACAAATTACACCGGTTCTGCACGTCACCAAAAGTCAAACCAACGTTAAAGACTATAACAAATCATAAGGAGCCTTGGTATAGGCTCGATTTCCGCCGCTTTTTGGTGTTAGGTCTTCGCTCCTCCCTAAGAAGAGAGAGCATAGGGAAGGAGCGCGGGCTCATATTCCCGAACAGCGGCTGGTAATCGAGCCAACCCTTGGGAACTCAAAGTAAAGAAGGTTGGTCTTTTTTCAATTTCAGGGAGCCATGATGAGCATAGCATTTAAAGAAGGACTCAAGATACCACCCCAGGCCATGGAGCAGATTATTTTAGGGGCAAACCAGGATGTCCGACAGGTTAAGGAACAAAATTAGCATTTACCTAACATCATTCATGCATTCAACTACCGTGCGCAATTAGCGAGCAATCCCCTGGGGGGGAAGGGGAGGGGTGTCTTTGATATTTGGGGCTAACAAAATGTGGGGCAATCATTGTGCAGGAACTTGTTTCTGGTTTTTGCCCAGATTGAATGACTATTGTGACTTAACAGTATGTATTTCTCCGATCGAAAACCTCTCTTTTTAAAAGAAAACTTCATAAAGAGTCTCAGCAATGATTTATCATATACCGCATGCAAAGTTAGCCGGAACGAAAAACAATCTAACAGCCATTGTAAAACTTTTGATGTGGAAGTGGGCGAGAAAAAAGCGCATGAGGGAGGTGTGAGCCTTTTGAAAACTTGAAGTTTTTTTAGTCAAGGGTGGGGTAGGGGGGGAAGGGGACATAAAAGAGAGGTCTCTCTAATGGGGAGCAAGGGGTTCTGGAGCGTTTACAGATAAAGAACATTGAATTCCCACCAATGAGATTAGATATCCGCGTGAGTTTTTGTTTTTGTTTTTTTTTGCTTTTTCTTTTTTGGGACGTTATTGTTTTGTTGTTGTTGTTGTTGGTGTTGTTTTGCCTCTTGTGATGTTTTTGTTGTTGTTGTTTTTGGTGGTATGTTCATGTGGTTGCGTTGTTGTTGCGGTTTTACTTTTTTTTTCTTTCTTTTGGTTTTGTTTTGTTTTGTTTTGTTTAGTTTGTATTTTTCTGCGGAACTTTTTGAAACTAAGCTTTTGTCAAATTAACGGGAACTGTGAAATCTTTATGGGCGAAGATCAGAAGAGGAAAGTTGACGGAAAGGGAGATTTTAGGATGAAGAAGATTCACACGGATTAAAAAGGGCAACTATTGTCACTTTATTGGGAATTGTGGCGCATTTTGCGGGCTTAAATGTTCGCGCGCTCGTCTGATTGTTCAGACTTTTTTGGTTTTGTTTTTTTGTTATTTTTCCAGTTCTTTCTAATTTCTTAGTGCCTTCAAAGTAATAATGATAATAATAGAGGTATAAATATTTTTGGAGCCTTTCTCTGCCATGAGCTAGTTTTAACCCTCGAATCAGAGTCGGGTCCAAAAACATTGTTATGTCCGCAAACATAAACTCTATTGTTTTATTTCCGAAGGTTCTTCACAACTTGTCGATGTGGACAGCTAAGGAGAAGTCGCTTAATTACGACCAGGCAAAGGAAGAGGCAGCCAAGGCACAAAAAGACATCAAAATGGTAATAAGTTTATCATCGACTGCTGATAAATTAGTTATTTTATCTGTTTGATATAAT